CTGCATTTGTCTTTTGCCGAAGCTCAGACTCTGGCACAGGATCGGGAACGTTGGAAGGACTGTCTGACGCTTCTGCCTCCGCGACCCGAAAGGAATAGCGGCGATGGAAGATGAAGATTAAGAAGATATTTCCTTAAATCATTAGGCACTCCATTTAGTTTGTCAACGAATTTTCATTGAATTCAACTTGTTTGTAGTTTGAAATGTGATTTGGATGGCGCCATTGCTGCCTTATATAAACGCTTACACAGAACTGAGAGAAGTATCAGGGATCAAGCGAATGTCATGTAGCTGACAGAGATGGTCCAAAGCGATATCAAAAAGATGATTCGCGCGAAAGAATGCAAGCGGCAGGTGAGTGAAGTAGAGGATGAAGCAGGCGATAGTACCTACCAGTTAAAAGATACGATTCTCTTCCATGCACTGGCAATTTATCAGTCACTTTGGCCAATTGCTTGACAGTTCACGACGAAGATTCACCACCATTACAGTGTGAACATAGCAGATGTTGTAACATTTTATGACAGAAGGTTTATGTCGAAAGTACCCGGAACATGTAGACAAACGCTTCCCACACTTACAATACACGTGATGGTCCCTCATGTCTTGTTCGTCATTGTCAACGGACCAATGGTGATTTCCTCTTGGTTGTGCGCTAATTGACCTACCAGATGTTAGATACAGGTAGTTCGATCCAGCATTGAGCGTCGAAACAGCTTTTTGCTGGCGTTTTTCCTCTGCATGCGATGCTGGACTGCCGACACGCAGGAAGAGATGATGAATCTCTGGTTTACCATTCAACTAGATCAAAGGGTCCTCCACAGTACCTTTCTGGCGCCACAAAGCTTTATTTTTGCCTGATCATTGTTCGAGAGTAACGCTAATATGATTTTGCTAACTTGAATATTGTCATTCGTTTTCCACGGCTCAGGTGTCATAACTATTTCAAGTGCTGGTATTGGCATGCTGACGGTAGTCTTTAATCTGCCGTTTGAAATAATGAGCATTTATCATTCCTGACGGAAAAAATTTTTCTTAGAAATGACGTGCATCGTCTGCCTCCGTTTACCAACGTACTG